GGACGCTCAGAAGCAGCCTTCTTGCGATAAACCAATGAGGGGGAAGGGTGCAAGTATGGCATATAACCCCACTGAATAATTCAAAAATCCGCATTATTTATTTAGGCAGTTGTGGTTCTTCACAGTCTTCCTAGCAGCAAATTGCGAAGTGCTTTATGCGATACCCGGATGTTGTCCTTCTCTAGCGCTATTGACGTAAGCGTTGCCCTATCGGGCTCAAAGTTACGGTTAGAGCTACGGTTTAGTGCTAAGATTGGCCTTATTCTTTGGACTACGTTAGTCAGGCTTGAAATATGGTTTAGATTTCGGCTTGAGACTAGCGTTGGCGTTTTTGGTTTAAGGCTCCTGTTGGAATTTGGATTATAGTTTAGGATTATATGTTTAAGACTTGGGTTAAGACAATTGTTACGCTTGATTTTCCCTCAAAGGCTGATGGGTTAAGGATTATCCATTACACACATGACCATGGTTAGGCTTAGAGTTGTAGTTAACTGTGGGGTTACACATCCTGCCCTTGCCGAGGGGATTTTGGAAAAGTAGGCCGATTATAGGATTTGTTTACCTGTGAGTCCATGGGATGAAATTCTGCCGTCCCTCTTCCAATAAGACTGTTTGTTAGCCTCTTTCAATCCCATTTTTGATATAACATCACGTAAGTGTTTTCCCTTTCAGATGTACTTCAGTTCCGCGATCCTCGACTTCTTTCGGGCTCTCTTCTTCGGTCCGGCAGTTGAGGAATTGGAGTCCACCACTGCGCTCCATTATGGTGGGTTCGACTTAGATAGCTGTCAAGAAGACTCAAACTTTTAAACAAAATCTATGAAATTTAAGGTTGTTCCGGCAAGAAGGTAACTAGATATAAACTCCGCATTTAGGTATCGGAGACTTGATAGTGTCTGTAGTTTGTAATGCAAGTAGATTTTTTTGAACCAGAATACTATAAATGGTGATGCATCAATGCCAACTCTGACACATCTGCCTTGCGTGCCCACCAGCAAGCAGGGTAGCTAATCTGGCACAGTGTAGCTCACACTCTGGCCAATCTGATTTTTAGTCGACCATTCGCTTCAACCCTACAGCAGATTACTTAACTCGTGCAAAATGTCCAAATTTTTGAAAGATTGATAATCCCTCGCAAGCCGGCATGAACGCATGTACGAACATTTCGAGCTAATTTAAGGCTTAAAGGAGCTATCGAAATTTCTATTAGTTTATTTAGGAATACCAAAGTTTAAAAAGCCTCAAAATCCGAAAAGGTCAAAAAAATGTCTGCAATTATGACCAGTAAAAATAAATAGCATTGTCAAGTGAAATCGCAAAAATATCATTTTGTGTATCTTAAAAAAAAATCTTTTCGTCAAACTTCTTTATAAGTGCCTCAAATGTTTTAAAGGTCACCGATTGTTTTAAAAGTTAGCCCAAAGCCGAGATATCGCCGTCTTATTATGACTTTTGTGAGTCCCCAAGGAAGAACACAACAAGAAGAGCAAAAAGGTAGAAATATGTTAGTCTATCTAGAACAGCGTACTTATAGCAAGCAAAGCGTACAAGACTGGACCAATCAGATTGTGGCCTCAGGAGAAGGATAATATGCCGAGTGGCTTTCGGGCTGAACAGAGTGAGAGGGCAGAAGACTAATCACAGCCGGCAGCTTGATTGATCTTATCACTCGTGTGGCTCGTGCCGATCGATAGTGCACCATGGGACGAGTAATCAGGAGAGCGTGCTAACGGGTCGTTAAGCCTGTCCCTATCATCAGATGTTGGATTACGATGTGTTTCAAATCATCCTTGAAGTATCGGCAAATACTTCACGGTTTTTACTGTTTTTAGTTGATTGCCCATAAAGTTAAGTTTTTTCTATGTTTTATGGTTGCAAAAATTCCCATCACAGAAATCCGAAGGGCAATTGGCGAACATACGTATACTTTCAATAAATTCTCATCAGGCCGTTAAATTTATATGGCAGGGGAGTAAAGTGTAAAAGATAAAAATTTAGGTATCTTACAGGCAAATTAAACCAGGGAATAGGGGAGGGGGCTGGGAGTGGTTACAAGCGGCTAACTAAGCGGCA